CCACCCTTTGTGAAGCAACAACATTTGTTTGTTTACTCTTGTCGTGCGGCGTTCTCAACTTTGCAGTTGTCACTGCAGTGTAATTTGCAATGGTTTAAAGGCTCATTCGGACGGTTGGTTTTTCTGCATTCTCTTGCAGTCTTTCCAGTTATTGTAGCACGTGTTATCCATCAAGATCCTGATTTGACTGATGTCCAGCCCGAAGAGGAAGAGCTTGTGAGCGTGTTTCAGTTTGAGCATTACTTCATGGACTTGTGGAGGTTAGTTTGTTCTCAGTTCAATGCGTTCGCTTTTGACAGTGAATCGTAGTACTCAGATGTAAGCACTACTTAGCATGATTTTGCCTATTCTATCCGCAAGCACGAGTTCCAGAACAAAGAATATGGCCAAACTGAATTGTACTCAAGTCAAATGAAATTCGCCACTCGCGAATTTTGGGAAGCAATTCCTACTCATCGCGTTTTCCTTCACTCGAAATATTTGATGACAGCCATCGTGTAGCTCCCTTACACTGGTGTACCACACAAAAAGTTTGAAAGTATTAAAATTTCTGATTTTGTGCTGTTTGAGCAGGACATCGTTGAAATTTTTCCCTTCACAAATAATAGTCACCCTGAACCGAAAATTTTGTAACCACGAAAGACCAAGTCTCGCCCATCCACAAATAATTCATTCTACACGGTTGCCAAAAATGTGTTTTTTCAGTGATATATGTTTTTGGATCCATGATATTTCGCCCGTAAGTTTTCTGTCTCATGCAATTGGTAGCTCGTTAATATTGAGGTTGAACAATAGGAATCATTGTGAACTGCAAATCAAGGAATGTAAGGATGATTGTGTTCTTCGTCATGCTAAACGTTGGTAACTTATAATATCTTGCAGGCCCAACTTGTCCAAATACATCGACGAGGTGGCTTATGAACGTACGTGGTCCTTTTGTTTTTACTTTTATTTAAAAGTCATGTCATTAGTTTTCATGCGTAATCGTGTAGGCTTAGGGGAAACTACGGATTGATTAGCTTTGTTAATTTTATGTGCGTACTCGATATATGCAGTAGAAGTACCGCTCGTGATTTTTTAAAATTACGAGCCATACAGATTTCTACTCCATGGTACTAATGTGCATTCTGATGCTTTTTTTCAGTTGTGATCTGTAAGCGCCTGCGTTCCACTGAAAAAGATGCTGTTGTTGCGCAGGTAAACAGATAAGCCAGCGAGAAATACTTTCCGATATCGCTTCTGTTTTTAATTCGAATATAAAATATACGTTCCTTGCTGCTTGAAGGAAAACAAAATAGTTAACAAACAGCCTGTTTGGTTTGTTGAACTATCAGGCGATTAGGTTATTAGTTTTGTATTTAATTGTTTATTTATTAATTTTTCCTACAGCTGAAGCAGTACACGGAGATACCATTGTCCAAAACCTGTTTTTGTCCTGTGCTCTGCCTCTTGCTAGACAATGATTCTTTTGTTGCCCAGGCCGCAGGTACGCCAAGATGTCACCTTGAAGATGTTTGAATTATCAAGTCATTATGATCCCAAATTTTATTTAGCACCCTAGAATGACAAGCATCTTATTTCACCTTACAGTATTTTTGCTAAATCAAATATTAAGGTCACTAATTAAAACAGCTCCTGATTGTCAAACAAAACCTCCTTGTCGGTACCAAAGGAAGTGGGTGAAGAGTAGTATGGAGAATATACATACTGATGTTAGTTTGTGAAGGGATTAAGGCAGGACGGTGATGGATATTTGTTTCACATATAGAATAGGAAAGTAAACATTAGTAAGGCTTACCACAAGGGGCAAGTCGTGACGAGGCTTTTATTTGAGCCGTTAACGCATCAGTTGGGCGATGCTTCGCTCCAATCTATAAAGCCTTGACTTGGAAGCGAAGCAAATTATTATGGAATCTATCTTCCCCTTAAAGAAATTGATAAAGATTTATGTTATTCTGATATGCAGTCGGTTCAACCAATTTTAGAAAACGATCAAAATATTTGCTTTCAACAGAGTCCTATCTATCGCATTTGAAAAAGAATGCTGACTTGCGCAGAAAGGTGAGTCAAGTCCACACCTTTGTTTTACCACCTGTCACGAAAGCGTTGTATCAACAACATCCTCTCTGACCACCATTAATGCAGGTTTCTCTGTTTTAGAAAACACTGGTTCGTAAACAAATATCATACATGTAAAGCGAACAAACGTGGATTCTGATACCCTCCCATTATGTTTTTATTCCAGGCTATTAGTTTGAGTATTGAGGCCCTTGAAGAATCTGAGGAGAAACTACGGGAAGGAGCATGCGTGGCTCTCACAGTGCTTCAGGTACGCACCACATGTTTGTGGATTACGCCGGTGGTTCGCCACTGTAATTTCATTGTTGACTTAAACTTTATGTACTCTACAGGCCAGAGATGCCGTACCCCAGTTGTTGTATCTAAGCAGATGTGATGTACAATCTGTAAAATTTGCTGCACGGAAGGCTCTTTCATTCCTGGGTATGTTCTTTGACTTTTTTGCCAGCATCTTTTTTACAAACAGAAATAGATGAAGTGGTTCAGAAAGGCCAACTTTGCTGTCTCTCGTCTTGGCATGATCGCCTTTACCGACCACCTCGTACATTCGGTCAAAAGCGCGGTTTATAGCTGGCTAGTGCTTTATCGTCCCATACCATGATTGACAGTCAGCTTTGTGGTCGGCGTCGCGCTTCGCGCTTCGCAGTCGTTCTCGCGCGCTCCTCCCACGTGCTCCTCTCACGCGCTCCTCTCGCGCGCTTCCTCGCTCAAATTAAAAGTATGGCTTTGGGTACACCAATAAATGGGCGAATTTTACGGATGACATATCCGGAACACGAAGGCCAGGTTTTAAAATTGTTCGTCCTTATCTTGTCTAAAGTAACATCTTGTCTAAAGTAACATCTTGTCTAACTGTTTACTTCTCTTTTTTTCTTTTTTTTTTTCTTTCGCTCAGGAGAGGAAGGTGAAGATGCATTGAGACAATCTGCCATGTCATCAAGTGAAATAGCTGGACTAATATTCTAAACCAGTTGTATTTACTCGGTCACGTTCCCCGTGAACGTTCGCGGATAAAAGAAATGCCAACGGTCTACGGGCAGAAGTGATCTTTTGTCACGGGGTGCCTTGAAGCCCTGTATGTAGTGGAAATGTGAAGATAAATTACAGATCCTTTATTCTTACCTGAAGATTAACTTAAGCAGAAAGGTAAATTTTGCTGTTCAAATTAGCAGTAAGTGTGTTATTAAGTCAGTGAGTCTCCGATCTGCGTACGACATGTAATTTAGCCTCACATGGAGTACTCTGATTACCCTTGTCTCTGATATCAAACTAGTTTTGATGTTACTATAAGCAGTCTTCTATAATTATTCTGATGTATAACCAGCTATGGTTTTTAATCTGACAGTCTCGGATTACGAGAGTTTCTAAGCTGATAGATTCTGAGCATGAAAAATACAGGGCACTTACGATTCTGTACTCAGTATAGAATCGTAAGTACATGTAGCATGGAATTATGCGGTAGTGTTATTCGGGATTTACTCTCATTTGCTGGAAAACGAAATTCCGGTTTGAGATGATTGATAATAGTGCTGGGAACTAACTTTTTGCGAGTGTTAAGTCCAAGTAGCAAATCAGTAGCAAGCAAAGAAGCGCAGTATATTGAAATGATTTCGCGTGTCGAGTAACCAGGTGATTCGTAGATGGATATTTTGATTCAGTTCAAATACGAACTTATTTTTACGGATCTTGAGACCTTCAAAAAATTCAAGGTATATGGTAATATTTGGCTGGTATTTAAAACTGTGATAATGCAGTTTGTCCGTACATGTTGTGTGCAAGATTTAGACAGCAGACTAGAAGTCAAAGTCTATGTAAGATTTTACTTACGATGACAAACTGCTCATTAAGTTATTTCTGTAACACTGCTGCGAAGTAGAAGGACGAAATGCGCGCCATTGTTCTTGGCAGCATTGTTGCTCAAAGTTTCAACCGCAGCCATTTTCCTCTTGATCTTGATTGGTAAAGTGTGAATAATCAAATTTAAAAAAAAATAATCATTTTCGATAAAGGAATGTTGATATTGGATAACAATTTATATATTTTAGACAAAATAATTGAGAAAAGAGTGCATGCTTGCTCAAGATGATGTAACCTGCAGAAGGTTTCACAAGGTGGAGCCAAAATTAAACGGATTTGGTTCCAAATTGATTGAATAATGATGAAAGCTTACGTTTCTATATTAGAGAATATTTAAATTTATATGGTTCACTATTACTATTGTTTATATTGTAAAGAACAATTTTGTTGTAATTAATAGAATGAGAAATCGCGATGCCCAGACTTTGGGAAGAACTGATGTGGAATGAAATAAAATTTCATCTTTCTCCTTTCCAAAACGATGGTCGTCTCTCTTTTTAGTGTGAAGTAGTTTGTGTGTGTATAGTCCATACACCATGATCTACTATGTGCAATTTACAAAATGTTTAAACAATTACGACACTGCTCGTTTTCAGTTTCAAGCGATCTTTCAAACCTGATCAATCTTGCATTCGCGTCGTGCGCTGTCATTTGAATCTTGTCCAGTGTCCTATTAGCATTGACCTGCAGGAGTCTCACTCCTTTAATCTCTTAATTATCGGTTTGGAAGAGAAGAGGAGTCCCTGCAAATCATCTTTTTGTTTGACAGATGCGTTATGGCGATGGCCAAAGCAACATCTCTGCGAACCGCGCCTTGCGATTCCTTTCATTTAGGCTGAACGCGAATGCGGCCATATTGATAAGCTAAGACGAATTTGGAAGTATCCGAAGTCAGATGTCTACTAAATCTAATTGAAATTTCTGAAAGTTTGTGATCAGAACCACAAACAGTGTGTTAAGATTATTTTCAAATTTTGCCGGTTAATCCCCAAATGCTAACTGTGCTTCAAGTTAAAGAATGGGGAGACCGGTGAGGAATAGAAGGTCGAAAAAGAATCAAGATCTTTGTATCAAAATATGTTTTACTCGCGCCATATGGCTTGTACCATAGCAAAGATATACAATTAACATATTGAAGGTACCTAGTACTTTTGTGTTGATAAGGAGAAGATTATATTATTTTCACTTCTGCTTCTGACAGCAGAACGAAGATAGATAAAAAAAATTACTTCACAATAAAGTGTTTTCCTCAGCTGTAACATCATTTGCGTTCAAGTTTTCATCTTGTTTGTGATTTTTGTCGTTCGAATCCTGAGACAAATCTTCTATCATGGGTTGGTCGTGTGTCTCAGGTAATGTCAGACAGATCACAGCGGCAGCGAGGGCAAGGCCAGCCATAATTCCAAATGGCAGAAAACGGTGAATTTCCAGCTGAAAGAAGGAGAAGTCAGTGAGGTTTGAAATAACACCAGAAATGGTGTATATGCTTTATTATGGAACTATTAGACATCGCTTGACTCCGATAAATAAACAATTTTTTGTGTTTATTTAGTTTGTTTGTTTGAACTTGGATGGCAAAAACCCGATCAAAATTGTTGTAGTTCTTGTTTAAGAACAGGAAGCGTAGATTGTAAGACACACACGTTTTATTCCGAAGCAAGAAGAACGCTCATATAAATCACATCACATGTGAATAATGATCAAAGCCTATATTTCATATGCGGTGGCCTAGGTACTAATATGATTACCGCTGGTCGGAAATCACACCAAATGGCTTTGAACAACAGTACCAACAAATGTCCTAGAGGGGTTTAACCATGTATTCAGTGAAGCGGGCTCGGGATGTGCTGGCAGTATTTATCGTCACATTTGCGTCACGCTGGATGGAAAAAGGGCTATCAGATATGTTTGACACGAGCCAATAAAAAAATGATTGAATTACCCACCAGAAGAGGGGCATAAGCCGAAGCAAAACCACTCACTCGAGCCCAGGATGTTGACGTACCCATGGCAACGTTCCTGTGTTACGAAGAAAAGAAGCGCAACATACATTCAAAACAAAAACAACGACAATAACCACAGCAACTAACCGCTTTAGAATGGTCCCTTCTAATGACAGCTAACGAATAATGCGAAATGTAATAAAAATTAGCTACCTCAGTGCTGTTGGAAATAGCTCCGCAGCATAAATATACACCAAGGTAAATGCCACGCCACTGGACAACTTTGCAACGACCATGGACATGAAAATTTTACCAGCCAAAAAACCTGAAACGATACAACAAACCATTAAGGAGGGCCTCAATGGGATGATGGCTTTTACAACTAACGATTGAAGTTTTGGCCAAGTTACGGCTAAAAATCATTTTTTCTTCCGTAAGCGATAAGAGACAAGTTTTTAAGGTTAAATATTTTTTCTTCTAATGGCTGAATTGTTTAGCCGTATTACGGCTAACGGCTTTTCTGCTAACCCCATCAGGACCCTTATAAATGCAGTCTTTCGGGCAAAAATGTTTCTCAACTGCTCCCTTCCTACCACTACATATAATACTCACGCCACTTAAAGTTCTTCTTTCTCTTTTACCGTCCGAGGAGAGTGGGGGGGGGAGGTGGGACAGTAGTCTTTTTCTGTTTTTATCTCTTCTCGTCTGGCGTTTTCATTTACAGGCATTTTTACTAAGACGAAATTGTATTCTTTAAAGGTTTGTGCTCACGATTGAGTTATGGTACTGTATTTCTCACCGTTGTCATGTTCGGCTTTATCTGTCATCAAAAGGGCGCCGATGGCTCCAAGAGAAGCTGCGAGGAACGAAATGAACAGGGATTTTCTGCGGCCAAACCTGTTGAAATAAAAATAAATAACTCATACTTCAGGTTGGTCCACCGGTACCGAGAGTACATTTTTTTTCTCGTTCATTTCATTGGCTCATTTTATTTAGCAAATCAAGTTGGCCCACAAAAGATAACAAACAAAAAGCAAAAACAAAAAAATTTCAAATATACCAGCAAAGCAAACAAAACTTGTAAACAAATAAGGCCCTTACACGGCCGACTTAATCGTTTAACAAACTTGGTTAAGCAGGATTTGCGATTTGCCCAAGGATTTGTACAAAGAATCTTGAAGACGACACCCAGTCTAAGACAATGAAGGAAATGCACCTTCTCTTGGCGAATTTACTTACCACACAGTCAAAACAGCACAGATAAGATAGGAAGGAAGAGAGGCACCTGCACTTATTGCCACGTTGGAGTAAACACTACCGCCCACAAAGGGAGTACTAAAGTTCATCCCCCAGGAAATGAAAGACACTGCAAACCTGTTGATATGAACACAGAGTAAGAGAACCGAGTTGTTGAATCATTGTTTAATTTTGACTCACTCGCTGGCGCGCTCGTTCAAGATGTCCGACATTTATAAGGGAATACTTTTTTAAATATCCTGAAAGTTCAACCCCATTTTCTAATATCGAAAATGAATTTATTTTAGCGGTTTTCAGGGCTTATGGCAAGCTTCCATTAGGGATACTGGATATATATAGGGGCACAGCGCATTTAAAATGGTATTGCCGAACTTAACACTTACCACATGAACCAGCAACCAAGTGTTTTGTGAGCCATTTTGAGAGAGGAAAACAAATCTCGAATGTCACCAAGACGTTCCTCCTTCGGTAAATAAATTGGTTCGTCTGGCATCTCTGCACCATTCAATGAAGCGACTTTAGACAAAGTTTCCTTTGCCTCAGTGTATCTTCCCTTCTTCAGAAGCCAGCGGACCGACTCAGGAATGAAACTGTTCGTAGATATAACAACAACACAAATAGTTATGCTGTGGAAGCTCTTTTAAGGGACCAACTCTCAACGGAAAATTCAATCTTCATTTATTTTAGTCAGCTTTCACAAGTCCACGTTTCAACAGCGTCACATCTCTGTTCTTACATACTCCTGTTAGTGAAAGGAGACATTTTTTAGTGGGTCACGATCTAGACTTTAACAATCACGATAATGATAACAATAAGGATGGATATCGATGATGATAACTATAATGATAACCTTTGCCCCCCTTCAAGCCTGAATCGATGTATTTTTTCAACCTTCCTTGCTCAGTTTTTTTTTTCGGATGACCCCGTAAAGTGAAAGCTTCTATTTAATCAGAGATGAAAACATTTTTTTACAGCAAAAGGATCATACGGCTATCAAATCTTACAAATATCCAGCGGCAAAGATGATCCCAGGAACTCCAGTGACAATAACCAGTTGTCTCCAGTCTCTTATGCCATACGCAATTGCTGCTAACAGCATGACGAACACTTCATAACCAATCCAAACAACCGAACCTGCAGTCCCTCGTCGACGAACCCCAGAGAACTCAGATGTCAAAACAAACAGTGGAATGCTGTAAGCACCTGCATTCAAAACAAACCGTCAACATTAAAGTAAAATTAATAATTGTGATTCATTCTAAAAATTTTAAAGGAGGAAGACCTTGCATCATTATCATCATATCGACATTCTATTCTCACCGTTTATTTTCACTCACATGACCTTATATTTTTCCTCTCTCCTTACATCTCTCTCTCTTTGTTTACCTAATCATCTGTATGCCCGTTCCAACCCGTGTCGAATTTTCTCTCTTGTCCTCCTCATCCTCTTCAATTACATCTTTCTACTCCATACTTCAACTCCAGCTCTCTTCTCTTCCACTTCCTTGTTCTCCATCTTGTTTTTCACAATCTCCTCTCTCTGTTTTATACATTTTCTACTTTCTTATCTTTCTCTTCAATCCCATTCTCCCTCTCGTTCTGTTTGTTCGTTTTCCCTTCTCTTCGTTCCTAGAACTTAACCCTTTTAGTCAGCTTAAGGGTCATTTATCATGCAACGTCTTCCTTCGCCTGCCAACGAATTTTAGTTCGAGGAGGGAAGGTTGGTTTTCGTATCGGTAAGTTACTTCAAGCGCTAAAAGTTACTAACGAGGGACTATTTTTCTTGCATAATACATGCATTAAAATGTCCATATCTTACCAATCATGAAACCGACGATTGCTCGAAAGAGAGCAAACACCCAGAAAGCAGGAGAAAAAGCTGAAACAAAGTTGAACACGGCGCAGAAAAAGCCACACACAAACAACGGGAGCTTCCGGCCAAACTTGTCCGAGATAGGGCTGACAGAAATACTACCAGCTATAAATCCAGCAAAGATCACAGAGGTTGATACAAATCCAAGTGCGCCTCTTTTGCAATAAAGATCAAACTGTCAAAGGAGAAAGTGATTGAAACAAACCAACAAACAAAATAGAAGAGATTCGAGATTCATTCAAGTAGGGGAGGACTCTCTTATAAGCCGAAGGCTCGCTGTTGGAAAATGTCTACATGAAAAAACACGTAGTCCTTTGGGCGAGTCGATCCTACCATCACCTTACCGATATTTCTGATAGTCTGACTGCCCGTATGCAATCGTGCATTTACCGTTGATTTTTCAATCGTAGTCTTCGTGGTTATTCTTCGAATTCGTTGTTTATTTTATTCGCATTTAACATGGCCATGCAGGTCCGAACTATATTTGCTCTCCTCTGTGTCTAATATAAAAAACACGTCCACCTGCTATTCAGTGAAATACAAATCTAAAACCATGGCCACATGGTCATTTCCATTTTCTTACGCTTGAGAATTTTTTCATGCTTAATTTTAAAGTTCTCATTGGCTCCTTAATATATTCTTTTTAAATATTTTTTATGGAGCAATTTTCAAATGAGTGTCAAAAGTAAAAGTAAGTAAGCAAAACTAAAACAATCGTCACGTGGTCATTCGCGTTTTCCCGCGCTTCAAGCAGTTTTCTAGTTTTCAATTTGAGTCTTCATTGGGTAGTGATATTAATCTTTGTTTTGATCAGTCGCTTTGATAACGTTGGTTTTGGTTTTTTGACACCTTATTGAAAACCGCTCTATCCGTTTTGATTACATGGGTTTTTGTTACACCTCAACGTAATATATAAATACATCGAGAAACATCCCATGATACGATAATACCACTTACCTCAGTTACAACCGAAGTGAAGTCGTCGGCGAAGTCCCAGTCTTGCCGAGGAATATCGCATCTATGTTTGTATCTGTCGTCTCCCAGACTGATGGTGTCAGTAAAGGGGCAAGTCGAATTGTTTTTGCATTTCCATCCGGGCTCCGATGCAATGAATACCATTGCCATGACTGGAAAAGCCCACCATAATGCATAAGCAATATTGAAATATATGTTGAGCACAATTTGGTAGCGACCAAAGCTTCCAATCCTCTCAAGTACTTCGTCTGTGGTTAGCTTCATTGGAGTGATTGGAATTCTCAGGAGAATCTGCAAAAGAAAATTTGGATTTGATTCAAATCAGTGTACAATTAATGCACTAGTCAGTGGAAAGCCCCGCACCCCCATACCCGGGGAATGCGGGTCATTAGCGGGGGATTTTAGCGGTTTTTAGTGGTCATCTTTGCCCCAGTGTGCGGGGTGTTCGACAACATTAGACACAAATAACAGCGACCGGGGACCGTTAGCGGGGCTTTGGCGGGGATTTCGCTTTTGAATAGGCCTGCAAAGAACACTGGGAAAGCGTATGATCTCAAAATGGCGGCCGCCAACAAGAAGGTATGTACGATTTATGTACGATGTAATGGGCCATCGATTAAATTCTGTGTTCAATCTCATGTCTTGTAGTGAAATTAGAAAAAGTTGGGTATTGTTTATGCCCTCGTCATGCTTGATTAGCGATTTATTTAGAGCGTTGAGCCATGATTGTTTCATCTATTTTATGAAGACATTGAAAAAGTTTTTGTAAGAGTTAAATTTGAGGCACAATTCTTGAAATAAATTAATTTTGGTCAACGTTGTGTATTTGGGATTTTTCAAGTATCGCCCCGGGGGCGGATTACAAAAATGAGGTTTTGACATAAGAAATTGCCCCGCATAGCGGGGAATTTGCTTCATTTAGTTGGGACGCCTGGTCTAATGCCCCGCTATTCCCCGGGTATGGGGGTGCGGGGCTTTCCACTGACTAGTGCATAAGGCATATAGAGCCGGAAAAATATGAGAGTTTCTATTTACTCCTCTAAGATAATTTTTTGTTTTAAACAGTTAAATAGTGTCAAATTCACCATATGTTCTTATCGTAAAATCGATTCTCTTGCGAGAAACACCGTCTTGAAGAGACCTAACGAGCAGGTTCGGAAACTGGTGCTCAGACCCTTTTCCCGTGTTTTCATCGGCCATTTTTGAATTGCTATGCATGCGGATTACTACTGCACTTTCGGTCTTAGACTGCAGTTTCCTGTTTGCCATTCCCCATTCATATATATTTTACTAAGATCACGCAACAAGTGTCGCAAATAAGTCAGAGGTTGTTTTCGATCTAAGCCTGTAAATGCAGTTTCATTCAAATAAAGGGTTTCGATGATTTGTTTTTTTTTGCGGTGAACAATTTTTCTGGGTGGTGATTATTTTAACCACAACTTTGCGTGACATACCGGTGCATTGAAATACACTCGTCACGGGAACAAAGACTTGGCCGCAGGTCAAATAATGATTGCTTGAAATCAACAACTGACGAGTCGAATTACAAACACAATATTTTGGTTTTAAATTCCGTCCTCATTAAAACAAAATAAAGCGCCAACCCGACGCCAATATCCTAAAAAAAAATGAACGTTATTGAACTTTCATCAACCGGCCTGACACAAATGAAAACGTCATCCATTGTTTGGACTTTGTGGATGCAACAAAAACACGCCAATGAAATGTTCATGAAGGCACGATAGAAAATTTTGCAAGGTATTCCGCATCTGGGGCCATTCAATGCTCGATACAAAGAAAACATGAAAGCTTTTTACAAATTTCGACGAAACTTTGAAGATTTTTAAAACTTCTATGGTATGCAACTCAAACTAAGGTGCATTGTTGCCGCCATGCAATATCTCGTTCATTTAGTGTGCATCACACTGGAGAAACAGAGACTGAGTTATATGGGCGTTTTAAATGGTAGACATCATTATATTATGGTAGAATCATAAATTTCTCTTCTTCAATTTAGCCGCGGTGTGTTTGTTTCAATGAAGGAGCTTACAATCAATAGACACGGCATGTTGGTTCCGACTGAATTCGAATAATCCAACCATGATTTAGCCGGTATCAATGTCGACATCATGGTTTGGTCAATTCGGCTAAGAAATGACTTACATTTTCGTGCAAAGATTGTTATCGTACCTCTCTCGGGCTTGAATTGAGTAGAAAACGTGCTGTTTCTTTTCCAATCTCGCTGACCTTTGGTCGATTTACACATGTGCTCTATGCACAAATATGTTTGGGCTTTTGAAAAAACGCTAATAAGCAAGGTGTGTTTGTGACATTTGCGTGCCTTCTCAGCCGTTAGTTATTGTCCTTATCTCAATACAATTGTCTCTTCAATAAAGATCAGTCAACCTTTACAATTATGAATAAATTAATAAAATGTGGAGTTTTGTGAGTATTAGCTTTGAAAGCTGAATGACTGATTTCAAGGAACATTGAATTAGCCTAGAAATTATTCAAGCCGTGCGTGTTCCTGTGAGAAATTCTTTGCAAGTTTTCCAATGCAGTGAATAGACGTGTCATTTTCAAAAGTAAACATGTTTAGGCTAGACATAACATTACTGGATGTTACTGAAATAAAGAATGGGGAATGGAAATTGAGAAGGGGTACGGATGATATGGAAAAGAGAATAGGAAAGTGGGGGATGGGGATGACAAAAGGAAACCTGGAAATGAAAAAAGGTACTATTGATTGCGTGTGAAACAAAAGCATTAGCTGATGACATTTTGATATCAGGATTAATTCATTTATCTTCTCATATTTATTCGCCCTCATCTGGCGAATAAATGTGACATACACACGGATTTTGACACTCTCGCGCGGCTCGGAATGTTAGGAATACCAGGACAATATCCTAGCATTTCTAAAAAGTACTTACAGTTGAGGCCGCTTATTCATGCAAATTACCACTTGAAATCTGCTAAATTCATTATCTGCTTGGCGCGTTTAACGGTCATAAAAAGTAAAAAGTGAGTTATTTTTCAGCTCTGCTGTAGCCACAAGCTTGAAAAGTGAGGCAAGTGCATTGTGTCTATCGAAAACTAAAACGGCAGTACTCTCAGCAAATGATCATCCAACTGTGGCCCACATTTGGGTTCGTTTGTCGTTCATTTGGACTCAGAAAAGTCAAGCACTTGAACTTTATTAAACCTCCATTCTATTAATTTCGAAATAAACCCTAAAGTAGCTCTTTCCTGAATGTCAACAAACTTGATTTGAGCTGTAATTGACTAGTAAATAACTATAATCAAATATAGATCTACATCACGATTTTGTTCTTTTAGAACAGCCAACAAACACTGACAAAATTTTTCCGAAAATTGTACCTCAGCTGGTATTTAATATCGTACCTAGATTCTACCGTTAGACTGTAACTGAAATGTCTGGCGATAGTGCGGAAGGTCGGGTACGGGACCAGCTGGTACCTTAAAGACCCTATTAGTTAATTACTGGTTCAACCAGTAATCTCCTTGTTAACAAAAGGTTCTATCATATTTCCGACGGCCACGCCCATCAAAAGCTCTCTGACAATAAAATGAAAATTTGGTAGTTTTGTGCTTACTGTGATTTTCATGAAAAATTTCACAACTGGTTACCAACGGTTTATTAAACTTACATGTTTATTGCATCTTAATTGCACTTTTTTAGTTCGAAAAACATAAATTAAGTCATGGTCCTTGGAAGTTTGTTTTATTAAGTCGAGTCAATTTTTAAGAAATCTGAGCGCGAAAATCAGACCTGCCAATGAAGACTGAGGAACAGCTTCTCACTGCATGCCGGGATAGACGTGTTACCGCCAGATTTGAAAACTGTAATAAATTCCCCGCGTTTTGGTGTGCGATTCATAAATATTGATAAAAATTTTCTCACGGACCGATGGCCTTCAAGTTTTACCAATATCTGTTTTTACTGCTGCTATTCATTTCCATTGAAAGAAGTGAATCGGCTGGGAACGATTCAGGAGAGCAGGGAAGCAGTTCATCAGGTGATTCTGTTCCTTCGTTCTCGTACGAAATAAACAAGTAAGTATATAAAATAATATTATTACTTTAAATTTTAACACTGTAAAGGGTACCGTCGGAAAAGGTAGTTGAGCTCGGAAAAGGAGTAAATGACATCGAATACAAGCGCCGTAACCGGCTCTAGAAGTAGGAAATACTCTTCCCGTAATGTCAACAATTCTAAAGTAAGATTGTGTTACATGTTTTTTATGTTAGCGGCATTTAAAATAGATTTACCGATGTTCCATTTTTTTCCTTTAGTTTCCTCATTTACACCATATCGAAGGAGAAAAAGAGTGATGACGGTGAAGGTAACGATTCTCCTATAGCATCTGTCGTGAAGAAAATTTTGGAAGATTCAGGAGCACATAATGTGGAAGTAAACAAACGCATTTTGAACGTTTTTAAGAAAAAGATATCAATCCTCCATACAGCGTTCAAGCGGGCAAGCAAATCAGGCGGAAAAGCCCTGAAGAAATTAGTTAACGGGTGGAAATTTGGACCAAATTATAAATTAAAAGTGTTCTACAACGAAGTTGACGTTTTGAAATTAAAGGGTGATTGCGATCGGCTGAGAGGTGAGAAAAGAGCACTCGAGGAGTGCGTGACTGAGCAAGCAGCTAAACGGATTTGCCTTGAAGAGAAATTGAAAACTGCCCTGGAAAAGTCACAGAAGAAAGACGAAGAGAGCAAGACACGATTTAAACGTTTGGCGAAAAAGGTTGCAGACATGTGCTTGGAAAAAAGGTCAAGAGGCCCAGCAAAGAAAAAATCTTTTCGGCAGTACACCCGACAACATCAGGCACGTGTCAAAAAACAGTTGAAGGAACAATGTCACACAACCCTGTCATTCCTTGGTTTATATAATTATGTTGCCACCAAGGTAGATGTCTTCAATGAGGACACTGGTAAGTTAGAGACTTTTAGTCTTCTTGAAGAAGGGGAACTTCCTTTTATTGATAGTACAGAAAAGGAAATGACAGACAAAGAGTTAGATGACCTTAATATGTGGATGTATTTAAAAGACAACTTTAATATCTCCAATGAAGCCTGGCGTGAGTTTTCAGTCAAGGCAAAAGATATGCCAAAACTGTCTCAGATAACAAAACGGATAAATGAGTTAAATACTTCATGGAATTTGAGTTGCACTCCGGGTGAAGCAGAAGGTGTTCAAGTGAAATTTGAAGACAGCCTTCGAAAACAGTTAACAAGACTAGACTTGAAAGAGAACACAATTAAGGTAAAGCTCAGTGGGGATGGAACACAAATAGGAAAGAGGTTGAAAATAGTGAACTTTACTTACACTATATTAAATGAGAAAGATTTAGCCATGGGTGAAAAAGGGAATTACATTTTGGCAATAATTAAAACAACTGAAAGCTATGAAAATTTACAAGAGAGTCTCTCTGATCTCAGGAATGAGATGGAATTGCTTAAGATAATTACTGTAAATAATTGTAAATATAATATCGAGTATTTCCTTGGTGGAGACTGGAAGTTTCTGGCTTGTGTTTGTGGCCTGGGGGCTGCAAACCAAGACTATGCTTGCATATGGTGTAAGTGCCCCAGGCTACAGAGGTGGGATACAAATAAGCAATGGTCTATGACTGATCTTAGTCTAGGGGCACGAAACCTAGCACAAATAAGTCAGTGTGCAAAATCAAAACAGTTCAATTGCAAAAATAATCCTTTGTTCCCATTTATTCCTCTTGATCATGTAGTCATTGATACTTTACATCTGTTCTTACGAATTTCTGACAATTTAATTGAACTTCTGATCAGACAATTAAGAAGACTAGATAGCATTGAGAAAAAGGTAACATTTACAGATGGATTTCCAAGAGATAAATATAAATATATGGCAGGTTATGAAATGCTCCTTAACAACCTGGGAGTTTCATTTCAGTGGCACATTGGGAAAGAAAGCAAGAAATTAGAGTACAGAGACCTGACTGGTCCTGAGAAGTTGAAATTGTTTCAATATATACAAATATCAACGATTCTTCCTACTTGTGAAAACAGTGCCCAAATTCAAAAGCTATGGGCTGATTTCATAGATATTATTGGTGATTTAAAGCTTGATTTTCATTCTAATGATGAAGTTATGCATTTCAAAGGCAAAATTGGGGATTGGTTAGGTAACTTTCTTGAGTTATACCAAACTAAGGATGTCACCCCTTACATGCATGCCCTTTATGCCCATGTTCCAGAATTCCTTAATCTATACACAAACATCGCCCACTATACTCAGCAAGGTATGGAGAAGTACAACGATAGGGCATCAAAGGATTACTTTCGATCTACCAACCACAGGGGAATTGCTGCACTCAAACAATTATTTCTGAAGAAAAATAGAATACAATACCTAGAGGCAGCTGGGTATTCCAGGGTCAAAAACAGCTACAAGTGTTCCAACTGCTCAAACATTGGGCACACCATTAAGACATGTACATCACATTGTATACATTGCCAGCATCCTACATTCTGCTCGCATCTTGTTAAAATTAATGGGAAATGGACCCCAAAATGTATGTAGGGTTCAAGTGATTGGCAAAGCCTTTGTAGCAGTCCTAACAACATAATTTGAACTTATATCCCACTTGTTTCATGTTCATTTTAGAATATATAACAGTGAACCTATACTTCTGCCTCATTGAGTAATTTAAGCCTTTGACAAATTATGTCCTTTGAAATTCGCAGTGTAGACTATGCAAACATAAACAATGCAAAATATATTTTGTACATGAGATATTAAAATAAAACTAAAAAGCTCTGCTGATGTACTGTCTCTTGTTACCGTCTCCCCTAACGAAGGTTAAAACTAAAGCATACAAGCCTTCTATCTCTGACCGTACAAATTTCCCTCCGATGTATTTAAACTCCATAATTGGGTTTCTCTTGGACAACCAGTATTTTACTGTTCCATTGACAACATACGCAAAGTCGCCATTTCCATTGAAAATCCTCTCATTCCACCTTAACCCTAGTATATGATCCAATTCAGCATTATCCTTGATTGTATGCACCTTCTTCCCTCTGATCTGAATTCCTTTTACAACCTTACCAAGTCCTCTATCAAAAACATCAGGGTCAACATTAACTTCGATCCTGATGTCAGGATCATCACGCCGCCCTGACCACAGCTTGCGCTTTATTTCTTGATAGACATGTCCATGGAAGACGTTCGTCCTGTCCTCAAGAGATATTTCTCCAGGAATATACGTTTTCTCCAGCCGTTCGAATAGAAACATGTTCTCGTCCTGACAGTCACGCCATTCATCAGCTTCTTCACTGTAACCTTTATAGTGAATTTTAACTTTTTCTTCTGTTTATCGATCGCGACTATTTCGATTTCATAAAGTTTATTATCCTTAGCTGATTTATGCCTCTTTTTCTTCTTGTCTTCAACCGCCAAATATTCGTTTAAAAGCCGTTTTGGAGGTTGCGATATCCGTTTCATTTTTTCCGCCATTTTCAATCATAAGAGCTCGCGCATGCGCTTGGGGCAATTTTACGAAATCCTTCAAGTAAGATTACTCAAATCAAATGTTCCACTCACTGGGGAAAGAGTTTGATATGCTAAGGAAATTGTTTTTTCGCCTTTCTCTAAAAGCCTAAAAACTGAGCATTCAAATCTGAAAACCTGATCATGGCCGGCCTTAAGATGCGATCCCAATTTGCGATATGAATAAATTTTTTAAAGACCTAGCTAGAATTTAGCCGATGCACGTAAATCGTTTTATCCACTGGGCTTTTGGGCTTTACCCGACTTGTGCTGACCGAATTTTCGGACAGTCGGACGTACAGTACTTAGGTCATACATTCCTTCCATTCACGCATCATATGCAGGCTTTCGAAGATTTTGTACGGTTTCGTATCCGTTATACATATCCTATACTCAAAAGATGTTACGTGGCTGGTTCTGTACCAGGCTGACGCACTTTCTGAGTTGTCACTCACCCGTGGTATTTCATGTCGTACTTTATTGTATGTGTTTTTGGCTATCGCTGTTTTCCTTCGCAAACCAGTACAAGGACTGAAAATATATTCACAGTCATTTGTTTATCACTTGACGGGTTTATTTGGAACCAACATAATGGGTTAGCTCGGTTGGTAGTGCACTATGTCGGTGTCGTTGAGGTCATGGGTTCCAATCCCGCACAGGCCTCAGTTTTTTTTCCAAGCCTTATTTTCACTACTGCTGTTAACTCTTTAAACCCTAAGAGTGATTAGCATCTAATAACATCTAATTTCTCCTCACAATATCAGCTCTGAATCACACGTTAAGGTCATGAGAATGAAGGAAATGATCACCAAAAAAGAAGATTTTGATCAGTAAACAAAATCTCCTTGTCAGCACCTTAGGAAATGTTTATAGAAAAGTATGGAGAATATGCATAATGACATTGCGTTATTGTCGGACTAGAGTCGGACCGGTAGATTCACCGATTTGGCTCAAATTTTGCATGCATGCTTGGTTAGGGGTTCCAATCACGAAATTGATATTTTTAGATTGCCAACATATTTTGCGTGGAAAGTTACGGCTCATAGCCATTTGGAGCCCCTCTAGGACATGGAAACGAGGCTGGCCAAGAGCAACCTCCTTTGCTTTCTCGTTTTTGTATCTTTTTTATTATAAAAAAATCTGCAACTTTTCCTCTGTATTTTGAATAGCAAATTCTGTAGAGAATATAAAGGGAAGGGTTGAAACGCGCCATTCAATTTACTCAGTTTTAGGTGTTTAAGATCCCTGAAAAATACAGAAGTTCAGAAGCTTGAAGTACTATTGATATGTTGAGTTAGAACAATTTGCTAGTTTCTAAATGTTAGCTTGCACTGCTCCTGTTGATACACGTGTTAAGTAAATTAAATATTCCTATTAATGACCTTCAAATGGGAAACCACGAAATGATATAGTACGCTTGGGCCGCCTGTGATAACAGTATTAGTGACTGCGCAATCCATTGGCACAAGCCTTCATTAGTGTTCAATGTATGTATCCTCCGTCAATTCTTAAAAACTCTGGATCATCAGGTCTGAACTTTGATAATCAAAACCAGTTTCGGTAAACGAGACACATGGAGCCCCCTGCGTGATCGCCTTACGAGCCAATGTATAGTGTTACATAATTTAGACTCGCGCAAGGCACGGCACGGCACGGCAGGAAGTTTATGCAGTCACGAATGGGACATATAGGATTACAGAGCTTTTTCATGTTACTCAATAGCCAAAATCTTACTTCATATGCTTGTTCTTTTCATTTATGCTTGCAATGGCACTGACTACAGATACATTTTTTGAACGAATTGGGAGTTTTGGTCGCTTTCAGATTGCGCTCAATTTGTTTTTCAATCTGTGTTCTCTATTTTGGTGGGCTGTGCCAGTGACGATCATGGTGTTTATAGCTTCAGAACCCAACTGGAAATGCGTAAACAACTCCACTTGCCCATTCACAGACAGCATTAGTATCATAGACGAGAGATACAACCACAGATGTAACATTTTGAGGAAAGACTGGAGATTCGAGGACGACTTTACATCAGTTGTCACTGAGGTTTGTGCTAAACGTGATCAAATTCGTGAACAGTCTCTCGTTCTTATCCCCATAACCTTATGACAATATATTTTACATTGCAAAATACCCTCTGACAATAAATGTGTGAAAATTATACATGTGAATCATATATATAAACCTCTGTCACTCCTGCTATTCTGGAAAAAGTTTAAAGTTGTAAGCCTTTCATTGATAAGGTTTAAGGGTTAGACAAAGGAGTCATATCTGATGAGATTTCAATTCACATATCTAATTTTTTTCCAAAATCACAGTTCGACCTTGTTTGTGCCCGCAGCTACTTGGGATTCGTATCAACTTCTGGGATATTCGCAGGTTTCCTTGTTGGCAGTATTGCTATTAGTATTTTGTCAGACATGTTTGGAAGGAAGCGGCCTCTCTTCATCTGTGGCTTTTTCTGCTGGCTGTTCAATTTTGTTTCCGCATTTGCTCCAACGTTTTGGTTTTTTGTTCTTTGCCGTAGCATAGTTGGCTTTATGCTGGGTAAGTTACATTTACCTCGAGCAGCTCGCCATTTTGAGGCCCTATAAAGGGTTATCAGGATATTTGGGTAAAAGGTTATAGGGATACGGGATATTTGGGTAAACAATTATAGGGATACGGGATATTTGGGTAAAAAATTATATAGGGATACGGAGTATTCAACATATCAAACTCTTTCCCCAGCGCGATGAACATTTGTTTTTCTCGGTTCCAGGTGTACGCGACCATGCACATGCTCTCCGTTGCGAATTTTCAAAATGGCGGACAGGCTAAATAGGGAAATAAAAAAAGCAAAGTGATTTTGCAACAAATACTTATCATAAACCCCCGTTAGAAAGGCGAATCCACGATAGAAAGATACAAAACTGTATGATATTGAGATCAGGGAGGTTGACAAAATCAACAAGAGAGGTTGAAAATTCATTACGTTCGCCGTTTAGCACATGCTTCGATGAATGGACACCCTTCAGGGCCAATAGAGGATCTGGATATTTTTCGTTTGTTCGCAGCGAAAAGCTGTTCATTCCCTCGGAAAATTCTCTAGAGGATAGAAAAGAATCGTTCCATGGCCAACTTGCTCGTGAAATAAAGAAAAAGCTTTGGTCTGGACAGCGAGAGGACCCTGATATAAACATAGGCCTTAATGTTGACCAAGATGTTCTCATGGAAGGTCTAGGGAGCGTTTTGCCCGGCGTTCTTCAAAGAGGAAAGATGGTTTACCAATTGGAGTCAAATAGGGTGCTTGATTCATATCTGGGGCTGAAGTGGGATGAAAGAATTTTAAATGTAGGTGAAGATTTTGCCTATGTAATTCCAGGAACTATTAAGTATTGGCTGGGACAAAGAAGTCCAATCATTGAATACAAGCTCATCATTGTAGGTGTTCTTAAACCATTTCATAACCTGCTGCCTCCAGGGACTGAATCCTGTTTTTCTTCAGAAACAGTTGTTTGAGGGCATCAACCCCTTTGTGAATTGTGGATCTGAAGAAATCTTTAGAAGCTCTATTATTGTATTTTTCCAAGCCTTGCTGTGTGTAATATGCTATGTTCTGATAAAGTGACAGGAACTCAGGAACATTATAACATAGTGCATGCATGTAGGGAGTGACATCTTTTGCTTGGTAAACTTTGAGAAAGTGCTCAAACCATGATTTGATATTTCTTTGCAGTTCAAGAATAACCTCTTCAGATGTAAAATCTAGCCTCAAATCACCAATTATGTCCATAAATTTAGCCCAGATCACTTGTATGTCTTTGTTTTGACTGCAAAGAGGGACAAGCATAGGTCAGAATGTTTATATTCTTAAAGAGTTTCAACTTTTCTGGTTCGGTAAGATCTCTATATTCCAGCTTTTTGCTCTCTTTGTTGATTCTAAAATTAAAAGTGATTCCCATACTTTTGATAAATTCTTCATAACATGCCATGTGTTTATATTTATCTCTTGGGAATCCATCAGAGGTTTTTTTTTTCTCAATAGC